TCTTTCCCAACTGGGCTAAGATGGGCTAACCCTGCTTGACAAACATTGTTGACACCGATGACATGAACTCTGGGGGCACAGGGCCGACTGGATGGGAGGAGCTGTCTGTGCGGATAGCACACTCATTGGCGAATCCGAAATATGAAGAGGCCCCCGTCAGCAACGGAAGTTGCAGGGAATATGCCGCGAAAATTACCAGGGCAGCCTGGGCATCGGGACACTTTTCTATGATTTGCTTGGTGTTTTTTCCTGCAGCTTCATTGGTTACACGCTTACATTGTGGGGCCAGCATTGTTGTCGTTGTTTTGATGGCCAGAAATGTCAAATATGTTCCCCTTTGACAATCGACTATAGAATGAAGTTCGCGCGGATTGGTGTTCTTTTCGATTTGGGAGGCTGACTGAGATATTCTGTTTTTCAGGTGCGACGGCTACAAAGCATTAATAAACGATAATAAACGATAGCAAGCGTGTCAGCGGGCGCAATGAAAAAGCATTATATACTGAAAAATATGTGAAATAACAATGAAATGGGGAGAATGAGGATAAATTAGTCACCAAAGATGATGGAATCTGGGAGGAAGGCCAACATGCCAACAGGTTCCTTGGTTATAGATGTCCTGGTCGAAAATGATGTGGGCAACCCAATGCCAGAAGCCTACCATTTGAGGATGGTAAAAAAAATCACCCATCAAAATGGTGATGACTTGGGGATGTGCAGGTCCCGGCGAGTGAACGTCGCTGTTCTGGTGTGGACCAGAAGTTGGAGGACCGAGGATGACCAACCAACACCGGATCATAAGGGACCAGGATAGAATAGGGCAAGGGGTTTGCACTGGTTGCTTGCTTTGAATATTGAATGATAGTGTTTGTCTTTTTTTTGGGGTAAAACATACTTAGAAGATCTTAGAAGCGTATAATTCCTGCTGATGTTCGAGTTTGTATTTAAGGATGGTTACTAAAACTACGTTAGCAGGTGAGGGCCGAAGCTGGAGAGGCTAGCAGCAGGTGAGCATACGAAGTTTAGATGGGTCTCAACCGCTTGCAGATCCATGCAGTGTTTGTAAATGTTTCTGAGACTAAATCCAATTCATGTTGGCTGAATCCTGATTTTGTGGTGATTGAATTGGTTGAATCCTTTACTTTTGATATCTTTTGATGCTGTTTTGTTCAGTCACGTTAAATCCAGTTTCTGTGGCTGGAATACCCTTTTTCATGTTGTTTTCATGTAAAATTCCTTCCTTGGTTGGTGAAACCATAGCAAAATTCCCAACCTTTTGGTGTATTTGTTGGTTCCTTCTGCTGGAAGGACACAACTCCAAAGCTGTTGGAAGGCTCGCCCTATGGCAGTACCGGAGTCGTTGTTGAAGTCATTTGATGGCAATAACGTAGATGTGAAAAGGTTAGAACTAGAATTATAGATATAAGACTGTATAAGAAGATATAGAAGATGATATAAGATTCTATTTATTGGTGTGTTTTGAAATCAACTTGTTCATGTGTCCATCCATTCATTTGACTATCGCATATGTTTGGCTGTGTAGCTATCAAGCAGGAGGTGAGATGAGCAATGGCAGCAATGGTTTTAGTTTCCACTGTTCCAATTGAGGTATTTTGTTGCCGTTCGATGCCCTGGCGATCAAATGGAAATCAAGGTTGAATCGTTTGCATTAATAGTTGGTCGCCATGGTCGCCCTTGGCTTCAGGGAGGTGGAGTCATGTAGAGCCACTAGAATTTCCCTGTATCAAGTAAGTGGGCCCTGTGGTGCCCTGATCATCATCTCTGTTTCACATCACCACCACTTATACACATATATTCATAATATTATATTATGTACATTATGTCTTTTAAATATGGATGAGCGTTATATCATTAGATGGAAAACAAACTGACACCATTGAAAACAGAACAGCGCCATAGTCCTGTTCAGGCACTGTGAAGGGAGTTGGCGGCATGATCGAAGCCATGCAGAAGAAGTGACCCGGCTGCCATGGCCCTGGGCACCCTTGGCCGTGCGCCACTGCCAGGTACGCCATGATTAAAGGTGAAAGGTTGAGAGCTGCTTGGACTTGATCTTGATGATGTTGATGATGATGATGATGATGATGATGTATCTGGAAAGTGGATGTTCGGCATTTCGTTGTCTTCACGGATTCAGTTGCCTCGGGGGCCCAAGGGGCTTTGAGCTAATGTTCACACCGACCCAATCGACTTCCGAGGTGGTGAATGAAACCAAAGACTTGTGGAAGTTAGAAGGTGCGTGTTGATGAGTTTGTTGCACAAGTGTTTGCACCTTTTGTATATGCAGCAGTATGCACCATGTTTGACGCGTAAGATCGTTAGATTATGTTAGACGTGATTCGCACCTTTTATCCCTAGCGTCAACTTGAGGACACTGCAATAATCTGCAATGCTGATGCAGTTTTCAGCCAAAACTTTCAAAACCACAGAATCCTTATGGTTAGAATGCTTTGTTTTCATTTTTCCGCATGGGCGAAGGTGAGAAGACAGTGCCAAAGGCGCAAGTCAATACAGGCCGAAATTTTGAATGCACCTTTGGAATGTAATGTGGTAAACCCAAGGATAACCAAATCCGATTATTGCCAGAAATGGGTTGTGACAATTGTCCCCAAATGGTACTTGCAGGTATACTCTTGGGTTTGCCAAATGTTTGACATGTCCTATTTCCATGCGGTCTAGATGTGATGCCAGTCCAGCTGGATGTGAGGCTGGAAATGGATCATCAAGGGTGCTGAAGATGAGGTGAAGAAGAAAGCGGATGAACAGGCTCGGAAGAAAGCTGCGAAAGAAGAGGCGGGAAGAGAATGGAATGCATGGAGATGTGTGTCCCAAGAAGACCAGAGTGCAAAGGTTGAAGCCAACAAACATGATCATAATGATTCATGATGTGCAATTTAAGTTAATATGTTGTCCTGATTTGTGTGGCCACCCCTTTTTAAAGTTAAGTTTTTAGAAGCTGTTCCTCAGATTAAAAAACGATCATAAGTAACCAATTTTATTAATTGGCGACCATTGATATCTAATGAAATCTAATTAAAACTTCTTTTTGCCGGTGAACTCGCAGTACTTGCAGTACTTGCAGTACTTGTAGTACTTGTAGTACTGGTAGTACTTGTGGTGCTTGTAGTGATTGTAGTACTAGTAGTGAGTGGGTTTCTGCATGTTGATTGCGTTACCTTTTGCCCCTGAAGTTTTTTTAATTCAAGGTGTAATAAGAGAAAGAGGAAGAGAAAGAGAGAGAGAGAAAAAGAGAAAGAGGAAGAGAAACAGAGAAAGAGGAAGAGAAAGAGAATGTTGCTTTTGGAAAAGGCCTACCTTGCTTCTCTTGGCTCCAGGATCAGCTCTGGACAGTTTGCTGCAATTCCGAATCTAGAAAACAAACCTACTAAAGTCATGGTCAGTGCCTTGGCAATTTGTGGATAAACTATTCTTTAATAAAGGTTTAATAAGCGATCTGATCTTTTGGAAAAGGCAGACGGGCATTTTTTCCCAAACAAACAGTTAAGACGTTTTTTTTCCGCACAAACATGTTTTTTTGACAAAAACAATTTCTACCAAAAATTATTGCCACAATAGTGAAACTTCCAATCTAATCATCAATTCCGAATAATTTGGAAATTTCTAGCCACAGTAGCGAACCTAGCTACTAATCAGGATGCAACATTGGTTTAATTGTTTATATACTAGAGCATCAAGCCATTATAAACTATAATTTAATCTAATAATTCAAAATTAGTGGTTGCTTCTTAATTTCATAAAGAGCTGCATGCCTCATGAACTGACCCATATGCTGACCCCGCAGCATAGCAACGCTATGCTGCGTCGATCAGGAAGCCAGAAAGAAGGCTGAAGCAGCAAAGAGACTTGTTTGCAGTGGGGCCGCTCACAGATGGCCACCCATGTCTACTCATAGTGAAGCCCAAGAATGAACTTCTGCTGGCAGCCAATACCGCTGCTGAAGCAATTGGTGGGATGCTTGGAAATTCAAGAAAACACTATCGAAGGAAATGCCCAGAGCCCTAAGATGTCCGAAAAAATTGTTTCTTTTTTTGTGTCAACACTCTTCATCTGCAAAGAGTGTCGATCTGTGAAGTTTCATGTTGAACTGTTTGTCTCCAGACATCAAGTTTCACCACCACGCTTCTTTTGGATTCCTGATGGTTCATGTGCAATCTCAAGAATCAGCATCCGGGAGTTTGCTCCACTTGTTCATTCAGGGGCCCGCAGAAGTGCCAAGGAAAGCGGAGGATGAGACAGCAAAGAGAGGTCGTTCGAAAAGCAAAGACAAAAGTAAAAAGGACAAGGAGAAGAAAGAGAAAAAGGAGAAGAAAGAGAAGGACAAAACAAAGAAAGCCAAAGACTCCAAAAAGGAGAAAGGCCAGGCGGCCAGACCTCAAATGATGATGACGGAGATTTTTCAACACAATCAGCACAGATTGAACGGCTGGGTTGATTGTTGGTTGCATGTTCGTGTGTATGTGTAATTATATATATATATGCACATACATCTTCTAATATTTGGAAAATGTTGTTTGTATATACACGTGCAGCATGCATACTACATGTATTGGTCCACCGTATTTTGGAGTGGTGATCACTGGTGATCCCCGCTCACACTCTGTTATGGCAATGGTTCAGCCACCAGCAATGCAGAGGGTCGGTAGCCGTGGATCCTTAACATTGCTTACTTCAGACCAGCTGGCTCAAGCATAGCCAGAGTCAGCACTGGATGTTGATTCCAGTAGGACATCATATTGGTTGACATGCATTTGACCGGCTTCAATGCTATAGTCTCAGCTACCACCTTTCAGATTCTTTTGTTTTCAATGTTCATTCTCAAATACCTTAGGGATGCAGGTTTATAAGTCACGGGTTGTCCACATTGGATCCTCACTCCTGGCAAAGTTCCAGCCACAACCTGTAGACACAAGCAAATTTCAACTCAATTCACTCTTCATCCTACTGCAACTCCTGTAGTTCTTGACCTTTCTTGACTGCTCAGCCGAAGCTCAGCGGTGATGACGGACTATCACTTCCAGATTCATACCCTTTCGGGGGAGCTGGTCAGGGAAGTGTCCCTTCCAGGCACGGCGACTGTGCGGGACATACTCAGCCACTTGCCCGAGGCTCGATCACCTGTGGACGATGTGCCACGGCATTTGAAGCGCAAACTCATGTACGAAGGCACAGAGATTGGCAAAAATTGCCATTTTAAGCATGTGTGTTCTTTCAATGTTTATAGTATTTTATAGTGTCAGATGTTGTGGTTTTTAGAGTTTAAAAGTTTAGACATGACCATACACGACCTTAGATGGTTGTCATGCCCCCAAATCTTCTCAATCCTTGGGTGATGCTTCCAACCTTGAGGCAGACTTTTAGTTGAAGGTGATGTCTTACAGAGCCTCGATTTTCCCAAGAAAGTGGTGGAGCTCCAGATGTTGCAGCAGAGTCCGCAAGTCGAAATCCTTCGTCATGGTGATGCCGCTTTGTTCCAAGGATGCAAGGGGATCCATCTCGCACTCTGTGGGCCTCCTAGAGGTGGTAAGAGTAGCATCCAGCTTCGCTGTGCAGAGGACAGGTTCAATGAAGGCTATTGGATCCCCGCCATTGGGATTGACTTCAAGAAGGTCTATTTGATGGTTGACGACGTCCCTGTCTTGATCCTGCTTTGGGACGAGCCTTCTGGGAAGGAACGCTTCCGATTGCTGCGGCAAGCCTTTTTTCGGAAGAAGGCGGCAGTCATCTTAGTGATCGATATTACTAGTGATGATCCATTCTGGCAAGTTGACCATTTGGTGCGCCTCATTGAGGATGAATCAATCCGCACCAAAGTGATGCTTGGGAACAAGCTGGATTTGGAATCTGAGCGACGGATTTCCTATGAAGATGCTCGACATTTTGCCACAGAGCGTGGCTTCCATTACTTCGAAACCTCTGCCAAGGATGGCACCAACGTTGCTGAGGCCTTGGGCTTTGCCGTGGTGGATGTGTTGCAGCAGCCAGCAGGGCCAGCACCTGCCGTGGCGGAAGCCGCGGTGGAGCCAAGAGGACCCTCATGTACCATCCAGTGAGCCATGGAGCGGCCGAGAGCTGCTACAGAAAGGGTGGCAGCGGCGTTTCATTGTGCTTGATGTTGAACATCCATGACATGGGTTCATAATGGTTCATAAACTTCATGAACATTCATGAACACTTCTTGCGGAAGTCTGCAATGCAGAAATTCTTGCAACGTATTTCCTTGCTTCATCTTGCTTCAACCTGCTTGGCCAATCAGTTTAATCCATTTTAATACAGCATCCCTGGCAATGAGTCACCGAAATGGAACGTCAACCAGGCAAGTCGAGACGGAGATCCGAATCCGAGGCTGAGGCCGCGGGGCTTGTGCCATGAAATCGGTGGTGTTTGGAGGTTACAGCTGGGATCAGCTGGGATTGTTCAAAAAATGATGAGAACGGGCAAATACACCCAAAATTTGCTAGGTTGATGGGGAAAATGAATTGAAAATGGTGGTAGACAATAGGACTTTGGTCCTTATTTTCAGACATAGCCTGGTTGGGGTGTAGTCGAAATCATCCAAAATCTCTAAGAGTTGGTTTTATCCCGGAAGACCAAGGGCGTATGATGGCGTATGGCTTTCCATACCTGCAATTGATTCAGAACTAGAACTTGGCATACTTGGCCAGTTCGCATGCAAATCATCAACACCACATGGCCGCAATTTGACAAAACTATGCAATTGCAATGTTTGTGGCTTTCAACCAGTACTTGTGCTCAGCCCTTCTGCGACGTCCAGGAGGAAGAAGAATCCGAGTCAGAAAGCCGAAGAAAAAAGTCCAGCAAAAAGGTTCCCTTCTCATTCTTTGGTCGGCTGTCGTCTCAGCTCCACTTTTCAGACCATCATATGCTGCAAGGTCAAAACAAAAGCGAAAAAAACAAAGAAGAGGAAGCGCAGCTTGGCAACATTGGAGATATGGTTCTCTCCATGAGTGAAACAACCAAAAAGTCCCTGCCGATCCCTGCCGCATTTCTGTTTGTAGCCCAAGTTACAATCAACCCCTTGAAACAACATTTGGCCGCCTGCAGAAAGCCACCAATCGGTGGCTTGGGCTGCTAAGGCTCCTCCAGTGAGGAGAGTTATACCTCCTGAGCTGCCCTAACGGTTTGGATCGCTGACGACAGAAGCAGAAAGTGACTCGATTCTATCGGCAGCGGAGCCAAATTTGGATTTGATTGCAGATGGAAGCTGACAGCTAGCAGTATCACAGTAGTTGTTTTGGTTTGCAACATGAGATGAGAGAACTTGCAGGTCGTATTCACAAGCAAGATCCATCATAGTTGTTTACATTTCGTATGTGAACTGAGGTCCGTTTTACTCTTGCAAGTGCCAGTCAAGGGCCATGCTCTGGCCGACTGTTACTGTAGATTATCAGCATGATGATTTGATATGATTTGGCTCAAAGTGACTACAAGAAAAACAGAGAAACGCACTCATAATATACATAATATATATATATCATATATCAAATTACAACATAAAAAAAACAGTTTACCTATTTATACATAATATATCGCGGCGGTGCCGATCTCAAGTTGTGTACTCACAGGCAGCCACCAACAATGACAAAACTCAATCACACTGACGTGAGCAAGCGTGCGGCATTTGACCTGACGGACGTTACACTTTAATTGTCTTTAATTATCAAGTATGTTCAAGTATTATATTGATTTCGCTTATTCAAATTCGGTGATTTTGTTGTGTTATTTGGTGATGTTTCGAGTGCGTTGGTTTCAGCCAAATAAACACTTCCAAGAGACAAAGATCAATCTCTTGCGCTGCCCAGCTCCCGTAGATCAAGCCATTTGGGCTTGCAGGCCAGGTGCTCAGGGCCCAGATAAGATCAGCAATGGTTGGGGCTTGGGCAGTGCCCATGTTGGCTTAAGATGCATTAAGATGTGTGTGCACCTATTTGATGAAATGAAGTGAAATGATAAGTTGGAGGGGATGTTCATACTATTTCATACTGTATCATTTTTCGCTTAGCTTTCGCTTCATTTCGGTTCATCATGATTCATCCCATTGGTTTCTGAAACCCCAAGCCGCTGGACACCATGGACACCTCTCCACGGAGGCGGCCATGTGGGGCCTTAAGCGAAGCGAGGTGCCGGCACCATCCCAAAATCCATATGATCCAAAAGCGGAAAGATTTTTCAAGGGTGGTGTTGAGTTTTAAAGGGGTGATTAATATATATATATATGTTAATTAATGATTGATAATCATGGTTTAACACAATTATATGATAAGTTATGGGTTAATCATGATGGGTTTGATCTCCTTGATTTGTTTGATTTTGATTTTTGAGATAGCTCGTGGTGACAATCCATTCCAGGATTGGTTGCTGGGCTTTCAAGCTACAACTCCAGCGACCTTTTTATGTTGATGCCAGCTGCTCGCATACTCGTAAAATGGGTAGGCAGACGAACACATTGGCCATGCTCGATGAATGTTTTCTTGCTGCTTGCGATCAGTCCAGTCGCCCTCCCATTGTTGTGAGTACCCTCTGGTTATTTAACATAGCCATGGAAAACCACCATTTATAATAGGTAAATCCACTATAAATGGGCCATTTTCCATGGCTATGTTAAATAACCGGAGGGTATCAGTATGATAGAAACAGATATCCTTTTACACTTGGCGGGTAGCCCCTTCAACTGGATCAACAGGGTGAACAGTCCCTAGCAGCAGCCCTTCCGGTGTTTGCAGACACTGGGGTGATTCCCCCCGTCTCTGCTTGGCGCTAATGAACCATATTCTGGTCGTTAGTTCCAGATATCTTTGCATCCCACAAAGTTGGGATATGTTAGGATGATGATGCCTCATATACCCTCTGGTTATTTAACATAGCCATGGAAAATCACCATTTTTAATAGGTAAACCATCTATAAATGGGCAATTTTCCATGGCTATACGTTTTGTTCCACGCCTTGTTTGCAAGCTCTGCCTTGATCGAAGTATCAGAGGCGCGTACTACTATTTGGCTCAAGCTCAAGCGCCACAAAAAGGTGCTTTGCTTGGCTGTTTAACCTAAAATTGGTTATCAGCCGTAGCTCTACCACCGTCAGTTTCACTTCCTTGATCGCTTGCTGCTTGCCATGGCGCGCTGGCAGCGACTGCACTGGGTCTTTGTTGTTCCTCTTCGCCTTCAGCAACCTCTCTGACTTCGTCTCTGCCCTGGGACCTGGCTTTATAGCGGCCCGGGGAATTGTATGCCGTTGGGTGGTTCAGGATCTGGTGGTGGTAAGGGTGATCCTACTCCGCCTTGGCGTAAATTGGATAAATACACTGACCCCAATTGGAAACCCACAAGGGGTGGGAAGAAAGCCCGCCAACAGGCGGAGCTAGCAGCTCGTGTAGCTCGTGGGGAGTACTTTCCACCACGTTTTGCAAAGTCTTCATCTTTGGAACCCACTGTTCAACAACTGACTGCTGACGACTCAATTGATAGTGGTGTTTTGGTGTCGACTGAAACCAGGGGTATCCCAAAGGCTTCCACGGCTATTGCTGGTCCTCCCCCAAAGCCCAGCTCAAGCACTGCGGTTGTGAAGAGTCCAGTTACTCCACCGAAAGTTCCTGGTCCTAGAACACCTCCAAAGGCTGCTGGTTATTTGGGTAGTTCCAGTTCGTCAACGGTTACCCCATCTGTTGGTCCAAAGCAGTTGGCTAGGATTGCCGGTTCTGTTCCTATTGAGCCACCGAAAGCGAAGGCCAAGTTGTCATCACCTGTTGCTGATTTAGGAAAGGCCTCGGTACCTGTTCACGTTACTTCTTCAGTTGCATCAACTCCTGGGTTGAACGTGATTAGGGTGAGCCTTGACTATAACGGGGTTTGCAACGTTGAGTCAGCCGGATCTAGGGAGCTCAAGGATATCAGTTGGCCAGTAGTTGAGGCCATCACTGCATTCCTCAAGGAAAGTCCGCTTCACTTTTTGGGGATTTGTTCGTGGATTGGTACTTCAGGCCCTGAATCCAAAAATCGTCGTACCAGGTCATTAAGTTGAATCGGTTCTTGGTTGACGAAGAGGGGATTTCACCTGAGCAGTGTGTCCGTTTGACCATCACGAGTGACCGTGATAAAGGAATCTTGACTCCTGAAACCGTTAGTTGTCACTTGGACGATAAGGTGTCGGTAATCCAGGCTTGTGCATCTAGGAAGGTGCCCACTTGCTGGTTTTCCCGCCAGGACAGTCTTCGTCACAAGTCGGTTCAGAGTATTAAGGATTTCTTTGAGTGGGTCAGGGGACGCTGCGTGCCACACCAGTTCACTAGCGAGTTCTTCACTGAGTGTCGCTGAGCTGATCCTTGCTTGCACTTGATCTTTTGATTTTGGAAGTGTGACTAAAATTTGAGTGGTTTTGTGAGGAAAGAAACATGTCAAGTTCTGATCCTAGCAGTTTAGCTTTGTCATCTTCAACGGTGGCTATGGCTGTCCCAGCCACAATGGCTTTGGATGATACTGCCACGTCTCGAAGTAGCAGCATTAGGTCAGTTCGACATCACAATTTGAAATCAGCACAAAGGCCACCATCCAGGGCGAATTCGGAGCCGCGAAACATTCATCAACAGTATTATCACTCAGAACCAAGGAACCTTCAACAGACGTACCATCATCAACAAGTGTACGTAGCACCATCGCCTGATTCAGAAGTTGTAAGACAGGCTGCTGTTGAGGTCATTCGTTCCAACCAATCTGAGGCTGCTAAGACTGTTGAGCAGACTAAGGCACAAGCTGAGGCATTTGCTTCAACTGTTCAAGCTGAGGCCTCCACAAGACTTGCTAGCTTCCAAGTGGAAGCCACTCAGGCATTGTCATCCCAGGAGTCTCAATTGAGGAGTGCATTTGAACAGAGAGAGAGAACTTCTCCAAAGAATCCATGATCTTTCTCATGCTGTAGCTAGTGCCAGTCAACCCAGAAGCGAAAATGTCGCGGATGTGAACGTTCTTACCTCTCGTTTTAATGAACTTGTCAACAGAATGAATGCTTTTGAAAGTCAAGTTATGGAGCGAATTGGTGCGATTGAACAACAATGTTTTGGTTTTCGCACTTCGTTGGAAAAGCTTGGCAAGAATAATGTTGACCTTCATGAACATTTCACTCGAGAGTTGAGCGATCTTTCGGAACGGTTAGCATGGTTTGAAGACCAACCTGTACCTCATGCAGATGAAGAGGAATTAGTTCCACCTGTTTCTCCCATTGGTCAAAATTCACCTGCTCATTTCCGTTTCGATCATCAGTTTGCTAGGGATGTTGAACCCCCGAATGTTGGACCGTTTGTTCCCGATCCTTTTGGTAATGCACCACGAGTGGGTCATGGGTTCACACCATCAGAGCCTCAAGTCGTTGTTGAGCCGGAACAATCATTGGAAGAGAAATGCATTCGTTTCAAGGAAGCTGCTGGTATCAAATTTCCCCCTTTGCCAGATAGCGCAGGCGCCTTGAGACAATGGAAGAACACATTGGTTCCTATGCTCAATTCCCTTGACAAATCCGCTGAGGGTCGAGTTTATACTTGGCTTATGAAGGCTTTCAATGCTACTGATCCTGTTGATGTCCAACATCTTTCCATGAGTTCTGATGAATTTCCAACCTTGGATCGTATGTTGTGTTCATGGCTTACCAAGCAGGATTCACTTCGGGGTCACTTTGGACCAAGGATCCAGGCATACATTGAAAGTGCTCTCACCAACCAACAGGTTTTGAGGGGAAGACCAATTCTGAACTTCATTGTTCGAGAGTTTGACTTGGATAGTGCTCTTGGAGGTGTCATTTCTGCGGTTGAATTGTTTCAAATCCCAGCGCCCGAAAATGACCATGCTTCTTTGGTTAATTTCCGTGACAAAGTTCAGCACATTCTCACCCAGCTCCCACTTGGAGAAAGACCCCAAGATGCCATGCTTTCAAAGTGGCTGTTTGAACGATTGAAAAGGGTTAGGTCGTTGTCCATCACCTTAGATCGAATCAAGGAGTCCCAAGTAGGGTCTAGGGAGAGAACATTTGAATATCTTTGGTCACGGTTGGTCCGTCACATCTCAGACCTTTCTTCCATTCAAGAGGGTTTGAGAAATGGTCCCAAGAAACCTGGAATGCCTGCCCCAAAAGCTGAAGCTAAGGCCGCATCATCAAATAATGCAGTCACTGGTGCAGCTGGAAAGGGTAAGTCTAAGGGTAAGAAGGGTGGAAAGTCCCCGAAAGAATCATCTCAACCAAGTGGAAGTCAAGGGAAGGGTGGTATTCAGCCTAGCCCCAAGGGTCAAGCTCAATCCTCAAAGGAGAAACCACCACAAAAGAAAGATCTTTGTGTCTTTTATCCCAAAGGTTTGTGTAGGAGGGGTGCGGATTGTCCTTATCGTCATGAGAATGCACCCGCAAACACTGCAAAGGCGAAACCAACGCCAGCTCCCAAGCCAAAGGCAGGAATGGTTGCTTTGGTTGGTGCAACGGTGCTTGGAGCAGCCGCCAGCTGCCCTGCACCCCAGGTCCAGGATGTTTTCAGCGTGGAGTGGGCTCTTGACAGCGGTGCCGGAGAGCACCTTGCTTCTAAGGAAGCTTTGACCTCCCAAGGAGTTCCTCTGGATTTGATTGAAGAGTTTGAGACAATCTCATCAAGCCCTCTTACGTTTAGCACCGGGGGGGGTTTGAAGAACGCTTCGGTCACCATCCAAACACAGGGTGAAACGTTTGGGGATGGGCTAGTTTACATGCTCAAGAAATGCCCTTTCGTGAAGTCACTGGGTAAACTCGTGCAGATGGGTTTTTCATTTGTATGTGGACCGGACTATGAGCCGACATTAGTATCTAGTGGTTCCGGATTCAATGCAACTTTTGACAGTTCGAAATGTGTTGTTGCGGATCGTGTTGAGCACCATGTTCCTGTTTTCAAAGAAGATGTTTCCTTTGCTTTTGGAATGCCAGCTGGTGTGCCTGCATCCGATGCGGACCCAGCACCAGAACTAGTTCCGGTTGTTGATGTGCCTGCATTCGATGCGGACTCAGCGCCGGTACCAGTCATTGATGTTGATGCTATTGATGAAAAACACCACATTGAATCCAGTTCAGATGTCCCACAAGATTTGGCCGATTTTGTGGTTCATACCCCTGCTG